TGCTAACAATTCTATAAACAATTTTCCAGCAGATACTAAAAATAGCGATACATTTTTGTTGCGACACCCTAGCGGAAAAAAAATTCAATAAATAACCACAAAAATGGACTTGAAATATAAATTTGTAGAAATTTTTATATCTTCGTTAAAACATTAAGTTTTTTGTAAAAATATCTACGAAATAGCACCACAAATTACAATGTCCTCGAATCAAGAAATTATTGTGAGTAGTATTTCATGAAAATTTTGTAAAAATTAGTACCAAACTTTACTAGTTTAAAAAATGTAAGAAACAAAATCTTACAGAATTAAAACATTTGCTCACCTGTAGAATATTACAAAAATTAACAAAAGTGTTCCAATTTTAGTCCATTTTTTAAATCTACGTAGAATTTCTTAGATTCTGGCAGTTATATTTAATTTTTTTTTGTAGATTTTGAAGAATTGTTTCCGGCAAGATTAGTAAGATATTTTTTTGAGCGAAGAATGTAGAGAGATCTGAGAGGTCCAACAACCCTCCTCGGGAAATTTCGCGCACGCGAGCACATTCGCTGTGTATGTACGTGTATATGTGTATGTGTGTGTGTGTTGGTGCGTGGTCATCTACTCCGTGCACCAAAGATAGAGTCTGACATCATACATACGGGCATCGGTCGGGTCGAACGAGCGATAAACATATGTACTCGCACACGATGTCCTCGTACGCGGAAGGTTCCAGTTTATCACTCGTGCAACCGTCTTGATCGATCGATGCACCCACCGTTGCCGCAGGCGGATGATTCTGCTTCCTCTCTTACGCCTTCGTGCGCGTTTAAACGATCGCGCGTCTACTGCGCGCTTCCGCTGGCGCGCGGGGAGGGAGAGGGAAGGCACAAATATTTAATTGTAACCATTCGCACGAAACCTCGCCGCGTATCTCACTTCTGCCATTTATATTTTTGCAAAGTATTAGGCGAGAACGACGATACCGACGACACGCGTGTAAACAGCCTTTGGTAACTGCGAACGTCCTCCCGCAGCTTGAAACCAAGATCCAAAGGTCTACAGACAGAGAGAGCCTTTCAAGGATGTAAAGACACTGATATGAACAGCGAATAATTTCGTCTCCGAAATTCGAGAACTCACGATGATCACGATTCCAAAAAGCGTATGTTCGACAATGAATAATTAGGAATCGCCCCGATGGCCGTTCAGTTATTTCCAGTCATAACGTCAGAGACGAAAAAAATATAAGCGCAACAGCGGGTCTTGGAGGACGGACGGTTTTTCAATGAAACGATTGTGGCCCGCAAACTTGCTACAAAGCTTATCATTGAATCAACATGTACCGTATTCCTCATGACGTAAAACAACAATAAAAAGAGATCAAACATTCAAGATATACATTTTACGACTTTTAGCTTTTTTTATATATATAAGTATTATATATATTACTCTTTACTTTCTCAGTTTTCTCCACTTTGCTTACAAATCAGTTTCCCCGGCGTTATCTTACAAGCCTGCTCCGTCGAGATACGATGCTCTCGTTCACTCGAGCAAAAGTTCAAATGTTTCGATATGTTGATTGTTTATTTAACCCTTTGAAGCATGCATTTTGCTATTGAACCATTTTTTGTGAAGCTCTGTAGACGAGGGTTTTCGGGGTCGCTGATTACGAATCCGTTATCAGATTTTCATAATTCAAAATGGTGGAATTTAAAACTCAAAAGAATAACATCATTCAACTGTAATTCAACTGTGCTAAAAAACATTATTTAGATATTATTAGAACCTATGGAATCTAAAATCCAGTTAAAAATTCTATAGAAAAAAAGCTCGCCGCTCGCTGCGTGACAACTTTTTTTCGGTGCACCGCTCCACCTCTCGCTATTAGATAATGCCCCACCGTTGCCTGCCGAGTCCGGCCTGCCGCCTTCTACGCTCTCATTCGCTCAGACATTAAAATTAAATTTCTCGATAACTATTGCGAATTTTGCAAAATGGTATAGGACTTTTCTATTCAGTTTGCCCCGGTCTATCTATCATCTACGGGACATACGGGTATTAGGACACATCCTGTATATCTAGCGGCCGCGATTTTACTTACGAGTTCGGCGGCCATCTAGTGGCAGCACCAAACTTTATAAGCGCCTGGCCAAATAACATAATTATTTAATTGAAAGATATTACTTCAAACAATAGTATTTTTTTTCTATCAAATAATATAGGTTGTTTGAATAAAACAAGAAAATTTTTATTCAAAACACATAATGTTTCGTATGAGCATATGTTGTTTTAATGAAACAAATTTCAATCAAATAAATGGGAATACTAAATCCAAAGAAACCTTTCTCTCTGTGTATAAACGTCCTGATTTTTCAACCTTTCTCGAGTCGCGGATGGCTATCGCATCGAAGGCTCATTGCTTGGCGAGAATAATGGCGATTTACACGAGGCCGGATACGGCAGCTTCATAGTAACACGTAACACCCGTTGCCGCTGCTGATAAGGTGCCTTTGTACACACTATATCGGTAGACGTCACGAAATCAGCCTGATAAAATACGACTCGTTCAAGTACGATGTATAAGATAATGCTCGCTATAATGTGTCACGCAATTATCGATAGTCCGATAGCATGGAAGATATGCGATTTCCCAGAGAGCGTCTTTCTTTCGAGCCTTCATTAAATTCTTTAACTTAAGACTCGTACATGGCCGAATTTTAATTAGACGTCGCGTGTTTGATCGATGTGCAAATTACTAATAGATGGACTTATTAGTTAATAAACGGTCCTATTAAAAAAACCTCATTGGCGATTGTTTGTCGTGCGCGTACATATATTATATATTTGTAGAGTATAAGTTGTTGTAACTTTTATGCGTAGTGAAGTTCTTTTAAATGTAAAAACATAATTTGAATAAAGCGAGGGGTAAACCGCTGAGGGTATTGTGGTGTACAGATTTTGGGCATTAGTGGATATTATTTGGCCTTGCTGGGGCGTCATAAAGAATCTAAAAAGAGAGAGAGGAGAGAGAAGAGAGATAAAACAAAATAAAATAAGATGAAGTAAAGCCCACTGGGCATTAGTAGGCACTGGTGAACATTTCGGTCAGCGGTTTTCCCCTCAGAATAAAGTTCGGCAAACTTTGTAACCTTGTAAATCTTTCCAGCAATATGGTGGCGAATATGGTGGTCTTTACGAAGCTCTAGGAGAAATTAAGTCAAATTTTTAGAAAACTTTACACCTAAACGAGATTCGATATTTTCTTGTGATACGTGACATGTTTAAAAATGTTATCAAATTTTTTTTCTGGAAATGCAAGTCATTCTTCAAGGAAAATCGTGATTCAATAACAGTCACAACTGATTTATCATGCAGCAATGAAATTGTTGCTTGGAATGAGGTGATGTTACATTTTTGGTACAAGTGTTAAATTTAATATTCTAAGAGAGCGGTGACCCGCTGACCAAAATTATATACACCAATGCCTACTAACGCCCAGTGGGCACTACTTTATCTTATTATCTTATTTCATCTCGTTTTATCTTCTTAGATTCTTTGTAATGCCCCAGCAAGGCCAAATAACCTTAATGCCCAAAAAAAACTAGCAATTCCTCGGGACAATTTACTTTAAATAAAATTAAAGTTTTTAAAAGTAATCTTTAAAATCTGAGTTTACTTAAAAAATTTGAGAGTAATTTTGGACACTTAAAGTAACTTTTAGATAGCCAAGCCTGTCGAAGTTGCCACTAGAGGGCCGCGCGGCATAGCACTTTCTCGTAAGAAGAAAGCGGTATTATAAATTATATCACATACTTTTCAAAATTCTTCAACGGTATTTCCACGCGGAGTTTCGGATTCTACCTAGCTGTAACCTACCAAATTTCGGATACCATTAGGAATCTTCAAATTTTCTTTTAAATTCTTAAAGTAAGTTTTAAGTTTACCTTAAATAAAAGTTTAAAGTGTCCAAATTTACATTTCATATTTCTTATTTTTCTAAAATTTTAAGGTTAATGCCCGAAATTTGTAAACCACAATGCCCTCACACCCAGAAAAAAGATTTATTTAGGTTAAACAAATGAAATACGTTGAAATCATGTTTCTTTGAATCTACTAAATTTTTATTTACTTCTACTAAAACATTTGCTAGATTTGAAGAAATAGATATAAATTTTCTTAGAAATTTCAGTCTTACTCAAATAAAATTTTGATTAAGGTGAAGAAATCATTTTTTTGAAATTAAATAAAAAGTCTAGTAAGGTCAAAACTAAAAAAAATTTATTTGATTTCAAAGGAACTTTTTCTGTGTGCAGCGGTTCACCCCTCGATTCTAAGGTTCTAATATTTTAAGGAAATTAATACTAAATTTTACCATATCTTGAACTTTCAATATTTTTCAGAAAACCCAAAGATTAGAAGATTCAAGTAAGAATTAAAAAATTCAAGTATTGTGTACGACAAACATACGGGCGAGAGTTCAAGGATTCAAAGGCTTAGACGAATTAAAACAATAAAATATTTTAAGTAGCGTGTGTGGCGCAGAGAAATAGGTGCTGCTTAGTAAACAAATCAACGAAAAGATCCGAGTTCAAATCCAGTTACGGACACCGCTGTTTTTCTCGAACGCCCGTGAAGGAAAGTGACCACCGAGAGTATCCTGCCACACACACCCCTTTAGAAGCATAGCCTTCAGCTGGAGGCTTCGGCAAATTTAGCAGCCTGCCAAAAATGAAGTAAAAACCCAAAATGCTCAGGGTCCAGTACGAACTGGATAAAAACAGGCTTCAAGCCTATTACACGAGGAAGAAGAAGAAGAAGAAGAAGTAGTAGTATTTAAAGACAAGATGATCTGAAGAATGTGCATGGACAGCATATATTTTTAAAGATTCTAAAACAAAGTCAACTTAAAGTTCAAAAAGTATTGGCTAGTCAGTCAAAAGCAGGACATTGAAAAAATCGAAAATTGCAAGTCATTAAATCAGCGCAGATTTGAATCGATAAGAGGCACGACTCACCATCGATGGGTCGAAATCGGAATCTCTTGAGCCTCGGCAAGGTCGCAGGGGAGCAGACTCTCGTTAGGACTGGCATCTCACTGACTCCTTCGGGCGACGGTCGGCCGGAAGTTCCGTTCGAGGACGATTTCGGCTCCGAGACGGCTGCACGCTTCGGCGATCTCTCCGTAATGCCAGTGGCCTCTGCGAAACAAAAAAAAGTCGTTTAGGTAGGTATATCACGTATCCTTTGTTTGAGTTAACTGGCTGCGTGTAATCTCCTGACGTGGACGACGGTGCGTCATCGCCGGGTGTCATCGTCTGTGTGTCATTGCACCAGTATGCGAATTGCAAAACTTTATGCGACGCTGCTTAGCAATGACAGCACTTTTTTTAATAACCAATGTCGATACTCTTGCACAACGGTCTACATGTATATTCTCACAGTGAGCAAACAAATGCGTCGAACTTGCATATTTGCTAAATATAAATGAATATGTAACCTACTAATACACCAGATTTCTTTTCCGAGTAAACCGTTATTGATATCCGAACTTTAAGAAGACGCGATACTTTCTATGCAAATTGTTGATATCTGACAAAAAAATGTTTTATGCTGTGCAACTATATCGTTTTCCCAAGAATTTTTGTGCGACTTTGTAAACTGCATTTTCTTTAAACAAGGACGTTGTTCTCTTTAAATTTATCCATTTTATTGTTTTAAACGTGTAATTCACGTAATACGTAACATTCATTTTCAATCTCAACTTCATTTTTCATTTTATTTCAATTTCGTTCTTTTGTCATCGTGTCTTCTATTTTTTGCACTTTGAATCATACATTTTTACGATATACAGTCGTTAAATGTCAAACTATCGATATGAAACTCATCAGTGACCCGAGATTGCGGCTCTGAGTCATACGATTGACAATCAATCGCGGAGAAAAACCAATACTTGCGAAATACCTTGGCCTCATTCTTTTAGAATGGAGTCTTTCTTTATAAAAAAAATAGTTACTGGCGTCGGCTAAAGAATCATTTTTTAAACAATAAGCATTAAAAATAGGTGAAAGATTGAATGGAAGAAAATCTTACACCGCCTTTCTCGATATAATTTGTGTGCCACTGTTAAATTTATACTTTCTTACAAAGAAAAACGAGGGAAATTAAAATGTATGGAATCAATCTTTAGATTCGAACAACAGAGACATGTATTTTACTATAAAATTCATGTCAATTTCAATTAGATGTCGCGAAGGGTTTTTATGAGCACTTGTCAGTGTAAAGTTGTGGATCTTAATGGATTAGCTATCGCTTATTCAAATTAATCAGTAAGAGAAAGTAATTAGAACTCAAGTGACAAAGGAAACGAGTCAACAATCTTTCTATTGTAACATATCGATGTCTCTACACAAAGTGTTATTTGTAGAGGAAAGTCCTCTGTTATAAGATAGGAGATTTTCAACGCCCAAATTCAATCGCAAATCTTTTTTCGCGACGATCCCACGATCTAACAATGAATTTTTCACTAAACAGATTTTACTCCAAGGGCAATAAATTCATGGTGGAACTAACAGATGATGCCTGTTAATTTAGCAAAGACTCCACTACGAGGGGGAAACCGCTGACCAAAATCTTGTACACCAATGCCCACTAATGTCTAGTGGGCATTACGTTATCTTCAGTGTTTGCTGTTATCTAAATAAAATTATATAGATGATTATCTAGATAAAATTTTAGCGTTATCTTATCTTTATATCGATAATAAAAATAAGTATTATCTATATCTGCATCTTAGATGAAAGAAAGTGTTATTTTTACTAAATTATCTAAGATAACGTACAGATAATTTGGTCTAGGGACACATAAAAATACTTAACAGTTACACTATTTAAATATGGATGGCGTTGTAGACCATGCATTTATGTGTGTGCCATATAACTTAACCTGAATATATTTTATATCCCCCTTTATAATTTAAATTTTTCTATAATTTTTTTATAACTTTTTCTACTGTGTTTACATGAAGTCTTAAAAGTATTATCTGAAAATTATCTAGACGAATCATATAATTTTATCTAGATATATTCAAAACGAAATCATCTTTATCTTATCTAAGATAAATTTATATATTTTATCTTATCTTTATCTAGCTAATTTTCAAATTATCTATGCACAACACTGGTTATCTTATTATCTTATTTTATCTTTATGATGCCCCAACAAGGCCTAATGCCCAAACCAATGCCCGAAAATGCCTAATACTGCCCAGTAATGCCCAGCAATGCCGCAAATCTCTACACCACAATGCCCTCAGCGGTTTTCCCCTCGCTCCGCTGTCTCACATTAGGAGCCTAACTCATAATAGGGGCTTTCCTCTAACAACAAGTGTAAACAACATTTAAGTTTGTTGCCTGAGGTGCTTTCTGTGAATTAAAAATCGCATACATATACACGCACACAAGAACGTGTTATAAGTAAAATTAACAAACTTGTACTTCTCCGAAGACACAAAGCCTGAGAGCGAGCTATTTTGCAATTTCCAAGTTACAATGCACGATTAATAAACAAAAAGAAAACACGCAACAATTGAATTCCCACTGCTGTGCGAGAGACTCAAGCCTAATCTACAACGTTACTGTTTGCGTCTGGAAATATTCTATTCTGTAGCCAATAAATACATTAAAAAATTTCTGCAAGTTGACAAATTGTCAACAAATTTTTGAAGCGTTTTGTTTTACGTGTATAAAGTAGTAGAATGTTTCTAGACGCGAAGAGCACATTGTAGAATGTAGATCAAGTTTAAGGTACTTGTATCGCGACAGTAATGCTCAAAAGTTTCTCCCAGACAGGAAGCAGCACTCAATTATTACAATAATATATCTTGATGCAATATTGTTCTAAAAAATATACTTACGATTGATACATAATATAAAATAGACTCGAAAGATTACAGTTTGAGGCGCTGTTGCCACATCTCTTACACTACACTCCCGTCTATTACGTAATTCTTCCCATTTTTCAGTTTTAACTGTTTATATCGTTGAAACGGAACGGTCAATAATTTTGATGTTTTTTTCTACTTATTCGTTCTATTTTATTTTATAACATATTTGTTTCTCACACGAATCTCACTCACCGTTGAGCTTAAAAAAAAAGTGCCGTCATTTGCGTTTGCAAACGCAAATATTAATATTTTAACGCGCAATAATATTTCACGTGTAATAATATTTTTAACGTGTTTCACACGTAATATTTCGTGTAACGCAGCGAACTAACTTTTTTTTTACAACTTTGAGACGGTCAATTTTAATGTAATTAGTCTTACTTTGCACGTATTAATGTGAAGAATAAACTGTAAAAAATTCGAAACAATTCTCACATAAACGATTTTTTACGAAATGACCACCTTAATCTTTTACTATCAGTGCGCTCTCCGTAATTCTTCGCACATTAAGAAAACCGAACCAAGTCATTGATCCAAGCCGTCACGAGAGAGTCTCTCGTGTCCCCACGAATTCTATTCGCGGTACGTCACAGAACCTCACCAACCAAACGACACGTTGAAATTTATTCTCTAACAAAGGAGCGCGATTGGCCGATCCTTCGCTTAATCAACAAAATTTTCAGCCTCGTCAGATCCACGACGCACGTGCACCCCGCGAGAGAAATGTAATTACGGGGAGCACGGGGCGAGCATGCACTGAGAAAACAGTCTCTGAAAATTTATTTCACTGTTGAAATAAACATTATATGCCTCAAATAATGTTTATTTTAGCGAAATAAACATACGCCACAAATAAATGTTCAAAGACTTCTCTCAGTGTGGTTGCCCGTCGTCGTGCGGCGCGTCCTGTCACTTACCCGGCGACAGCGGTCTCTTGGCGGGCGACGATCTCGCGGCGCGATGGCTCGCCGTTGACTGTGCCGCGCCGTCGCGGCCGGCCGCCGATATCTCGGCGGCGCTCATCCTTGCCGCGGGGCCGCCGCGGGCCGCCCGGCCGCGGTTCCGGCGATCCTGACTCACGTACCAGGAAGCTCTCAGTCCGGAGGACGACGTGGGAGCATGCCGGCCCGCCGCTCGCGCCGAGTGCCGAGTCACCGGGTGGGACGTTCCTCAGGTGGCGCGGCTCCCCGGCCGAGATCGTTCACGTTGACCTGCGAGAAAGAAAGAAAGCGCGGCCGCTAGAAGGGCTCTAATTATTTCGCAGGATTGTACGAACGAGGCTCGGAGATGCGCCGCCGCTTTCTCGTCGCCCACGAGACGTACCCGCGCTTAATCACATTCCGCGAGATTTAACCCTTTGACTCCGAGTGCGCACGCGGATACAATGGGAGGGGGGGAGAGGTCGGAAACCTTGAAGGCTCGGGGATAATAAACAAAACACGGGAGAGCTTATCCCTGCCCCCTGCCCCCAAGTCCCCGCGGCCGTTTCTCGTCGTGGCCTTTCGCGCGTCACGTTTGAGTTATCGGTAAAAATGGCGAATGGAGAAGAGAGGGAAGGGAAGAGCGTTGACTCCGACGGTCGAGCCTTGAGGAAGACGGAACAGGAACCTCGGAGGAGCCAAGGCGATCGACAATTTCTCCTCCTCAAAATGAAATCGGTTTTTGAACCTCGAACGCGTACCTTGAGTGCGATTCTGGTGATAGCAGCGCTAGATATATCCCGCGGGAAGAGATTGTCGACGCTACAGAGAAAGAGAGTGTGAGAGAGAGAGAGAGAGAGAGAGAGAGAGAGAGAGAGAGAGAGAGAGAGAGAGAGAGAGAGAGAGAGAATTCACGGCCTTTAATAGTTGCGTTTGTCATTGTCGACCTGAAGCGTCCAAGAGTGCTCTCTTGCGTTCGAGTAAGCGAGAGAGGAGAATGAGATAGAAAGAAGGCAAGAGCACTCCTCAGATTTGCAAAATGTCCAACGCAGCTATTGTAATAACGATATGTATGTATGCATATATGTATACACATCGCGCGCGCGCACGTGTGTGTGTGTGTGTGTGTGTATGTGTGTATGTACCTCTGGTATGTACATCGATTTACATTCTAGATGGAGTTAGACATAAACAACTTCTCGTATACAAATATATATGTAATTGGTTATAATAGAACGTAATGTATAAGTGTAATATATAGATATAAGTATTTATTACTAAAGTCCGATTCTTTATATTATACTCTGGGGGAAAAAAAGACAGTTGGCAACCCATTTTGTGTCCCACAATTAGTAATCGAATTATTTGAATTATATATAATCTTTTGCGAATTTTACCCCGCATAACTAAAAATCGCACAATTAGCTATTCTATCTATAATATTATATATCCACGATTTTAAAGTAACACTAATAATCAATTCTTTCAATTAGTTCTGTCGATATTCGGTAACGCAAAGATAATTTTCATTTAAGAGTCAAGTTGCTTAACTACAAAAAAACGATCAAAAATTTTCCCAGAGTAGAATTAGGGACAATTCAAATAATTCGATTACTAATTGCGGGACACAAAATGGGTTGCGGTCTTTTTTTCCCAGAGTACATACTCGTATAAAATTTTTGAAAGATGGGGCGAAGATTCGCCTCATCATAAATTGAGAGAAACATGTGTCGTCAAGTGAGAGAGATTGGGCCGGAAAACGCGGATTTTCCATTTTTCTTTTCTTGCCAGCACAACACGCGTGTCTAAAAGACATCTTAAGGATGTATGTTACTTAAGTTAAAATAGAGGGAAAAAACTGAAATTTGCAGAAGTTGTGCATTTATATACCATGAAAACCAGTGATAAATTTTGGATCAATTGACTGATTCGTTGTCAAGTTATTAATTTTTTTAAATTTTATGTGCGTTTCAGACAACACGCTGTCCAAAATAGAAATATAGGGTACCTATTATAAGACGTCTTATGATGTTACGTGTACAAGATGTCTTAATGATATCTGTAAAATGTCTTATATCCCGATTTTAAACAACATATTGTTTGGAGATTGGCAGGTTTTGAAACATTTTTCTGTCTATATGCAGATTATAGGTTTGTTTCTGTTCCTGCACTGGTGAACTAGTGCAGTAAACTAGAATGAGAAAAATATGCTTGTCTTACTCTGATTTATTGCACTAGTTCACCAGTGTAAGAACAGAAAACAAGCCTTATATATGTCAGATTTTTGTTTTTAGCAGTTGGATTCATGGCAATTCCCAGCCAAAAGTTTTTAACCGCTATTAAGAATATTTATAAATACGCTGTCAATAATTATAAAAAGAGGTTGAAGTTATTTAAATCAGTAAAATTAACATCTTTGTTATAATATTTAATAATAGCCAGCCGTTAAAGTATACAACCGATATATATTGAATTTTTAAGATTACTGTATTTTTTGCTGGGAAGGTATACGTAATACATCCTTAAAGGTATTTTTTAGACATGCATGCTGTTTGGGTGACCACCCCAGTGAGAAATGATTCGTCGATCTACGTCGAAATGATGTCGAATCGACGTCAATTCGACGGCGTCGATGTCGATTCGACGTCGTTTCGACGTCGATCGACGAATCATTTCTCACTGGGATAAGAGACAGATAATATAAGGATGCATGTAATTATAACAAATATTATAGTAATTTAAGAAGAGACAGACATGTATATATTTGTCTCTTTCTGGACATGTCCTTATACAGGGTGAGTCTTTCCATATCCGACAAAATTTTTGAGAAGGTAGAACGGATCGAGATGAATGGAAAAGTCCTGTACCATTTTGCAATTTTCGTAATAGTTAACGAGTAATTAATTATTAAAAATCGTTGTCTTAGGCCGGCCTACCGCCCAATTCGAGCGCGTGGCGGGATATGCGCATAGCAATATCGATCGCCAGGCGGTCACATCTTGCCA